TAATAAAAATTTTTATATTTAAATAAATCTTAATATCTAATAACTTAATTAAATAAGATGAAATTAAAATTTTATTTTAAAAAAATAATTTATTAATATTTATCTAATATATTAATCTTTTTATATTAGATTATATTAAATTTTAAATTAATAATTTTTTTATTATATAGTGATAATTAAAAATAATATAATACTTAAACTTTTTATTAATTATAATTAATAAAAAATTTAAGTATTATATTATTTTGAATTATTACTATATATTAATTAAATTTAAATAAAAATATTATTTAATTTATTTTAATTATATTACAAAAATATAAAAATTAAATTATTAAGTATAATTTAATTTAAATTTATATTCAAATTTATATTTTAAATTTAAATTTAAATTAAAATTAAAAAAAATTAAAAAATCAGATTTGAATTAAAAATTTAAACTTAATTTAAAATTAACTAAGTATAATAAAATTATAATTTTAAATAATCTTTATTTATAAGTTTAAAATAGATTTTATTAAAATTTTAATTTTAATCAAATAAAATCTAAATATATTTACTTAAATAATTATAATTTATTATTATAAATAAATTATTAATAAAATTTGTAACTAATAAGAATTATATATTATTTATAATTATTTTATATAAATTATTATTAAAAAGATATTTTTAATATTAAATACTTTAATAATAAATTTGAATATTTAATTCAAAATTCAAATTATACTTTTAATTAAACTTATTTTAACAATTAAATCTAAACTTAAATTAGATTCAAACTCAAACTTGAATTTAAAAAAAAAAGTTTTATCCAAATTTAATTTGATTTTTCAAACTTATTTTTAAAACTAAATTCAAGTTTAGTTTGATTAAAATAAATAATATAATTAGAATTCTTTTTAATTATATCTTTTTATAATTATCTTTTTTTAAGTTTTTTAATTACTAATTAATTATAATTAATAATTATGTCTCTTTTTAGTTATCCAATTTTACTTTATCAAATGCAATAATTATAAAGAGATCTGACTATAATTATTTATTTATTAAATTAAAAAATATACTTTTTAAATATACTAAAATAAAATTAAAATTTATAAGCTAATAATATATTATTAAGCTTGAATTTAGAATTATTTTCTTTTAATTTAATTTTGAATTTAAATATTATATTTTATAATTATTTTAATATAATAAAATTAGTAATAAATAAGTAGCTTACATTTAATTAATAGAAAATTTTCTTTATATTAGAAATATTTTATTATATTTTAAAAAGGATTATATTATTTTGAAATTAAAAATATAAATAATATTAAAAATTATTAATTTTAATATAATATTTTAATATATTTTCAAAAAAAATCACTTTGTTATAATTTCTAAGAATAAAAAGGTGTAAATAAAATTTATATAGTTTTTGTTGAATTAAAAATAAAAGATAATTCAAATCAGAAATATTTTATTTTTGAAAATATATAGTCTTTAATTTAATAATAGTAATAATTATTGAACAAAAATAAAAATGATATTTTTATTATTATTCTTTTAACTAGATACTATATATAAATACTAAGAAAAAAGTCAGTTGAATTATTTATCAAAACTTGCAATTGTCAAACTTATTATTTATTATCGGTTCCTATAGCAAGTTGTATACCTTTTGAAATGAATGTTTGATAAGTTATTAAACTAGAATCTATTATTTATATTTTAAAGTTTCTCTATTTTGGTCTGTAAATTTCTATGACCATCTGTAATTTTGCAACAGTTTTTGCAGGTGATTACAAAGTCACCTGTAAAATGTATCCATTACAAATTACAGTTTGTCACATTTGAAATTTTTTAGATTTTTCGATATTCAAATCCTCTCGTTCTGAAAATCGTAAATTAATATTAGAAAGTAGTGGCCTACCAAAAACACTTGTAATTATCTGTAATTTGATTTTTCTTAGAAGATTTTGAACGTTGAGTTTGTTGTGATCTCATATATAATATTCTTGTAATCAGCACAGAAGTGGTGCCAATAAGTTCATAGTATTCTAGTTACCAAAAGTGCAGCTTAAAATGAAACTGTGAATTTATGTTGAGAATCAATACATCATTCTATAACAACCTTTTTTAATACTAATAAATACAACACGCTCTCCCAGTTCGTGGTGAAAGAAAATGAAGTATTTATCTCAAAGCTCAATTATAGAATTTTGGAACTAAAATCCAAGGCGAAGCTTACATCTAACAAAGATATAAACTCTCTTTAGAACGACATTGTAAATGCTAAAAAAATAAGCCATAAAAAGGTTAACAATCGGATAAGTGTATTATTTTGACACCTTTTTCGAGACAACAAAAAAATAATGATTAATTACAAATTATAATCACGGGGAAGGAACAAAAAATAAACGTAACTCATAAAATAGTGTAATGTGATGTTTATATTCTGAGGTTGAAGAGTAAAAGTCTTGACAAGTTTAAACCATATTTAAACTAATGAATCCTCTACTTAAAAAGTTGCTTGTTCGAGCGACATGTAGTTTTTCATCTGCAAGATATACGCGCCAATGAACATATTTTCATAATACCAATTCATGTACTAAATACTCGTAATTGTGAAAAAACAATACTTTATCGCATTATGAATAAGATAATATAATACAAATACAAAAATTCATGGTCGGCCACCAAGAAAAGTGTTTAATTATCGCCTATAGGATCTTGAATTACTTCAAAAATGTCAGAAGAAGATTCCAACTGTGTTTACGATAATAAAAAAAGAGACTTAGACTCGTCCACAACAGCTTCTTCACCTCATTCTGATTCCTATTCACAATATAATGAAGAAATGATCCAGTTGATCATACTTCTAACAACCAACATCACAACGTCAACAGAAGTCAAGAGAGACCTTGTAGAGAATATCAATAAATTTCTGCAATTATACATAGAACAGCGTAAAAATGAATTAGAAAGTGAACAAGATCATAAATTCAACGAGTTCATTAGGATTGTTGTATCGTTGATTAACGATTATTTGAAATTAGTGTTTCTATGCGAAGAAATACATGATAAAGAGAATGTAGACGACGAAATTAACAATGAACTTGAAATTATTGAAACTAAAGTATTATCAGATGACCACAATCAATTAAACGTGCAGAAATCAATGAATGATCCCATAGATGAATTTTCCTTTTTCGAATCTGGCCACGCGAAAACACCAAATACATGTACAATCAAATGTATGGATTTGAACGCAGAGCCGGAAAACATGGAAGATATCGCTTCTTCGTCTTTGAATTCTCAAAATCTCATCAAAGACTCTAATATCCCGACAGATTCTGATGAAAACAGCGAAGATTCACAATCGAGTAGAAACAGAAGCGAATTGATGTCAGTTGATTCACCATCTTTAGAATCAATAAATGAAAATATTGAATTAATTCATGCGACGTTCTTTGATGATAATAAATTACTCAGTTACGACAAAGAATTTTACGAGAATTGCACAAAAGATGTTGATTATGCACTTAAAGAACTTTTTCAGTTATGGAAGTTCTATTTGGTACCAACCTGTAACAATCAGTTGGAACTATGTCAAAATATCAACTATTACGAACAATATTTTAACAACCTCGATTCAGAAAAGACAGAGAAAAACTCGAACGAACATGTTGATTTGTTAGAAATATTTTTAAGCTTTTTGGTATATGCGTCTATTACTGTCATTCAAGTGAGAACTTATTACGATTCTCTGGTGACTAGTATTTTTATAATTATTAGTGGCTTCCTTTTAGGTCATTTGGTGTATTATGGAGGAAAAACTTTGAAGCATTATTGCAATTTTATACATAGAAAAGATTTCAATTTTTCAATTGTTTACCACCACGTACATCTGGTTAGGTGAAATCATACAGTTAATCAGATTCACTGCAAATTTTGTAACGTGCTTATTTGTTTGTTCTGCATGAATTTAGATGTTATTCCTTACCGAATACACTTTCTTAAGAATTTAACCATTTACATTAATGAAATTGCAGTATAAGATAAACACGCGTGATTAAAAATGAGAACATGCGAACCAAAGAAGTGTTACTTCCTTTCGAAATTTCGTCATATGCATGTTTCGATTCATCAAATGATATTTTTCTCGAGTCTCTAGCGGTTTGACAGATTAAAACTGGCTCGTTTGGGGATTTTGGTTGGTAGTCGCTCGGGACGAAACTTGTAATGTTAAGGCAGGGATTGAAACTTGGAAGATGTCGATTTTGGGCATTTCTTCTTTTGATTATTATGAGAAGTTTATGAAATGAACTTTTAGCGAGAAATGCATGTCATACAAACTATCGGCCAACTAATATGAACTTTTGTAATTTTAGAATGTAAAATTTCTTGAAATGAAATGTTTGCACAACTTGTTCTAGGAAAATATTTTATGCTCAGAAATTGTTAACGTTTTCTCTCAAATTTTGTTAAAGATAATATTTTTTTTTCTACATTGAAGTTCAAAAGAAGGTTTTCAGTACAAAGTTCCAAATATTAATATGCAAAATTTTGGATCGAAAAAATTTCAAACTTTGATATATTTGAATTTCGGCTTTTATTCTCAGTTATAATTGTCATCAACATTAGTCAAAATTGTCTAAACAGAACATCAGTTGTTTAGCAGTTTTGAGTTCATGACAAGTGTTTTCGATAGGAGATGAAATCAGGGATATGGCTACCTTGTTCGAAACTACGAGTACTGTACAACAAAATCAGACATTTATATATGCCGATGCGTTAAGGCATTTGCCCTTAAATTCAATTAAACAGTTTTGCATGTCAAATTAATGCTAGCCAAAATTATGTATGATTTTTTTTTCAAAATTATCAAAATAATATTTGCTGGTTCCTAACATCATACATGTACACTCCCCTGACATGGATCATGGGACTTTCTGAATTAAGTATGATCAGACATGACTATTAACATTCTTTCTAAGCGGTTTGCATGCAGATTAGCACAAATAAAGTGATAAAAATTTTTTTCCCTTTTTTCAGAAGACTTCTTTTTATTGTATAATCGAGACACTCTCTCATCCTTTTCTTACTCGTGATGGATAAAAAAATAAAGAGAACTTTCAGAAAAAGAATGCAATGAGATCATTGGTGCTTGGAAGTGTGAAGTGCTAATTCCTACCATTATAAATATCCTAAAATTTGAAAAAAACTACTGTCTATAATTAATACTTATAAAAAAACTGGTAAAATAAAACTACCTCCATGTCCCAGATCAAAACCTAAACTAACTGAATGAGATACATATTATCTTGTTCATTTATTAAAGACAGATTGAAAAGCTTTTTTAAATAATTTAACTAATAAATTTATCAAGTCAACTTCTACCAATATTTTCTCATGTACTATATAATGTTATCTGCATAAAGAAGAATTTTATGGTCAAGTTGGCAAGAGATATATAAAAGAAATTGTAAATTGTATTTGAAATGGTCTCAAGAAAGAATTAATTAGAAGAAGACATGGAAATTTATCATATGAAGTGATGAATTACGGTTTGAAATATTTGAAAAAGATGATTATACTTATGTTTAGAGAAAATCTGAAAAAAAATATGATATTAACTATTTAGTTTTAAGCTTTAAATCAGATCACAAGAGAGTCATGATCTGGAAATGTTTTAGTTCATTTGGATTGGATTCTCTAATTTGAGTTAATAGTAGACAAACTGTAAATAACTATATCAATATTTTAAATAACTATTTATTAATTAAAATAATTATATATTTCAAGATAAAAATACTTAAATTCATCAAGCAAAATTAACTTTGAATTGAATTTCAGATAATAATATTGATCAACTTTTCTGATCTGTGCAAAGCTCCAGCCTCAATTCTATTGAGAATATTTAGGATAAATTAGAATATTATATTTATAAATACATTTTTCTACCAAAAAAGAAACTGAACTATTTAATCTATTACAAAAAAAATGGTCTAATATAGATAAATTAGTTTATGAAAATTTGATTGAAAGTATGAAGCATCATGTTCAAGCTGTAGTTAAAGCTAACAGACATCCTACATCTTATTGATAAAGTCAAATAAACTTTATTAATGTAATATTTTGATAAAAAAAATCTGATATAAATTGTTATATAGATTATTAAGAATTTCAAACTTGAAATTTTATAAAAAATCAAGCATTATTATATTTAGAAAAAAGTTCTATGATCCATGTAGAAAAGTATATATGTATTGTTAATTTATTATGTGATTAGAAATGTTTAGTTATTAACTAATCAAATTGTAAGATTAAAATATAATATAAAATTCAAAATAAAAATTAAATTCTTATTTTTTTTTAAAAAAAAATAGCTTATATCTTGAAATTTTGCTTATGAAATAACTTTTTATACTATATTGAAAATTATTTCTTGTAAAATTTACTTTGTATAAAAAAATTTTCTAAATAATTCTAATAATAAAATATAATTTAATATAAAAAGATTAATATATAAATATAAAATTAATAATTACTTTTAATAAAAATCTTTCAAATTTTAACTAATCTTTATAATTTTTTATATTAAATACTAAATTAACTTTTTGTACTATTTAATTATTCTATTATACTTTAATTTAATAATAAATAAAGTATTACTTTTCATAAAAAAACTAAAATAAAATTATTTTTTTTAAAAAAAAGATATTTTAAATATTATTACTATCAATTTGTAAGATTAAAACTTTAAATTATATAAGTAGATTACTCTAGATTTGATAAATATATATTCTAAATTTCACAAAAATTAAATTAATAGTTATAAAAATATTAAGATTCAAAGTTTAGTAATTAAATTATTTACTATATAATTTTTATATTAATTTTAATCAA